TTGGAGTTTGCGGTGTCTCCAGACAGTCTCCAGCGCTGTCCTCCAGACAGTCTCGTCCCTTCACCTGATGAAGGCCGCTTGTGTTGTGGCCGAAACGTCGTGAGAATATTATTGTGTTATTTTATTTTATCAATTTATTATTTTATTCTCATTCTACGTGACTTTACCGAAAGAACCAAAGAAGATAGATCGCGTTATTTATAAATGTGTCGTAACCCTCCACCACCCGACACGGCCAATCAGCAAAAAAAGTGTCACGTTGACAAAAGACAAATAGTTCACTACTTTAGCCCACCGGTGTGTTGAAGAGTGAATCCACAACATTTACAGTTTGAGTACTGTGACGTTTCGCTGGTAATTACATCCAGCATCATCATCGGGCAATTCGCCAGAATGGTAAAGCCCTCTCCACTTGCTCCCGGTTTTATATAGAGCAGCAGCAGGGTGACGTCATCATTTAACTCATTTCAGGTGCAGTGATTAGAGGTGGAGTGGGGGGGGGGAGTATTGTAATTATATAATCGATTAGTAATCAGTCAATGGTTATGATTAGTAATGAGTTGTAGATTGGTAATTAGTTGTAATGTGTGTTATTGTGATTATATGCTACGCTAGTAATCCGTTAATTAATATGTGTTTCCCCTATAAGGAATTGTAGTATGTATTATTTAATAACACGCTTCCAGGCCGCACTATCTACTTGACTTTAGCGAAAGACCCGAGGCGGATGAATTCCTGCGTCCACGAAAGCTTCGAGTCGAGATTTAACCGCCTCTGCTGGGAGGGTTTCCACTTAACCATAAGATCTTTACATTTCGATTTAAAGCTTTCGTGACTGCAGTGATTCATATTCTTGGTTCTTTCGGTAAAGTCACCACCACGTAGAAGAATTTTATTTTGCTTTAAAGCTTTCGTGACTGCAGTAATTCATCTGCTTGGCTCTTTCGGTAAAGTCACGTTGAAGGGAAACAATAAAATAATAAATTATATATAAATGTTTCTTGCCGTTGGTTTTCACACCTGATGATGAGCGTTTGTGTTATGGTCGAAACGTCGTGAGAATTTGTATTGTTTTATATATATTTTATTATTTTATTGTTTCCCTTCAACGTGACTTTACCGAAAGAGCTAAGAATATGAATTTTATTGTTTCATATATATTTTAAATTTTATTATTTGATTGTTTCCCTTCTATATACGTGACTTTACCGAAAGAACCAAGAATACTATCCACTTGACTTTAGCGAAAGACCCGAAGAGGATGAATTCCTGCAGGCACGAAAGCTTCGAGTCGAGATTGTTGAATCGTTTAAAGGGGCACAGGCGCAGCCCTGCAACTGCCTACTCGTTCACAATGCCGTGGGGGAGGAGGGGAAGGGTCTCCACTTGCCGGAGCTCCGCTCGAGACAGACACGAGTTCGATTCCCGCTCACGGCCACCAGCACCGGTGGCGATTATCTGAAGCGGTCGTGGATCTCCCCCTAGGTCGGCTCGGCCTCAAATGAGGTACCTGGTGCGGTGTGTTGGTAAACATTGCCACTGGGGGAGACAAAGGCGGCCGGGCGTGGTGTCGGCCACCCCACCCCTCTCTCGTGTGCCAGTGCCGGAATCGGTAGGTTTCCCGTTAACAGCACTTTCCCCAGCAGTCTGTTGAGGCTACACGGGGGATCTTTGTCTTGTGTGTGTGTGTGTGGTGGAGAGTGCAAAGAGGAGGAGTTGAGGAGGTGGAAGAGCGAGCGAGAGTGGTTCAAGCAGTTAGTGAAGAGGTGCAGGAGTTAGGAGTGAGGAGGTGTAAGCTACTACATATGTAGCTACTACTACATATGTAGTAGCTGCTACGCTCTTCCACCTCCTACATATGTAGTAGCTACTATGTAGTAGCTACTACATATGTAGTAGTAGCTATACATATGTAGCTACTGCTACATATGTAGTAGCTGCTACATATGTAGTAGTAGCTATACATATGTAGCTATTGCTACATAGGTCTGGGGGACTACTACTACACATGTCGCGGCTACACGTATCGCGGCTACACGTGTAGCGGCTACTACACATGTGTAGTAGTAGTAGTAGCTACTACTACACATGTGTAGTAGTAGCTACTACACATATGTAGCAGCTACTACATATATGTAGTAGCAGCTACTACACATATGTAGTAGCTACTACTATACACGTGTAGTAGCTACTACTATACACGTGTAGTAGCTACTACATACTACATGTGTAGTAGTAGCTACTACATGTGTAGTAGTAGCTACTACATGTGTAGTAGTAGCTACTACATGTGTAGTAGTAGCTACTACATGTGTAGTAGTAGCTACTACATGTGTAGTAGTAGCTACTACATGTGTAGTAGTAGCTACTATATGTAGTAGTAGCTACTACATATGTAGTAGCTACTACTACACATATAGTAGCTACTACACGTGTAGTAGTAGCTACTACTACACGTGTAGTAGTAGCTACGGGCCCCACACTTTCAAGGGCCCCGCGCTAAACGCTTTCAAGCTGTCGATTCCGGTTCAGTGATTCTGCCCTTGCTCTACTACTATAGTACTATACCGCCTTCGACGTTCATGAACGAGCGGGTGTTTAAGGTTAGCGATTCGTCGTATTATCCGGCTGTATAGCAAATGAAAAAAATATATATCACAATGACTTCACTGTGCAAGTGAAACATTTACGCGTTTTAATATTTACGTTTTTTTTATTTTACGGCCTCTTCACAACATCAAATGCTACAGTCTCCCCACTTAGCTTCATCCGGCACTGCCCCCACCCACACAACTCTCAAGGAACATGAGCGCCGGTTTGTTGTTGTTGTGTTTAACAGCGTGGCTGGGCCATGCGAGGAGCTCACGAATCCTCGAAAGGTCTGGGTGGGACAGCCCCATCAGTGAGCGCCTCCGGCAAGGCGATGCTACGTTGGCTGGGTCACGGAGCCCGCGTGGCCCAGCCACCGCATGCGCAAAGCAGCTTCTGTTTGGCCGGATAGATGTGGGGGGGGGGCTAAACGGGCGCGGCACGGGCTGGAGAAGAGATGGGGCTGACGTGGTACGGGAGGACGTGGAGCTGAGCGGACTTGCCGATGACCGGTACCGGCGGTGTCAAGATCGGCCTCTGTGCAGGAGGAGGCTCGTGAAGGACTCTGCCACTGGGCAGTTGGAGGCAGTCGCCCTCCAACAACAGCAACGGAGGGCGGAGGAGCGACGCTCACAACAACGAGCTGAGCGCCGGGCGGATAAAATTCAGCAGGTTGGCTCAGTGGGGGGGGGGTTGCGCGGTTGGAGGTGCGTCGGCCTCTCATCTCAGCCGACCCACGGCACCTGCTGGGTCTGTCCCGTGACCTCCTCCTGCCCGCGAGCATGCGACACTTCGCGTGGCCTCGGAGTGCACCTAGCCTGGCACAAAGCGCCGTGGTGACGTCACCGCTGCGTAGTGGCTGATGACGGTTGTTGTGCTTGTTGTTGTGAGAATACAGGTGTGTGTACGTGTGTGTACATTTGAGTGGGGAGCGGTAGTGTAGTGGTTAGCGCTACGCTGCGCTACGAACCCGGCGGCCTGGGATCGATTCCCGCTCACGGCCACCACCAGTGACGATTTGAACCGGTCCTGGGCCATCCCCTAGGTCGACTCAGCCTCAAATGAGTACCTGGTGCGGTGTGTAAACATCGCCACTGGGGAGACAAAGGCGGCCGGGCGTGGTGCTGGCCACCCACCCCCTCGCGTGCCGTGCCGGCCTTCAGAGGTGCTCGCTAACAGCACTTGCCCCTACAGTCTGTTCAGGCTACACGAGGGATCTTTGTATTTGTACAGATGAGGGTACAGGCGATGGTACAGGTGATGGTACAGGTGATGGTACAGGCGAGGGTACAGGCGAGTGTACAGGCGAGGGTACAGGTGAGGGTACAGGTGATGGTACAGGTGAGTGTACAGGTGATGGTACAGGTGAGGGTACAGGTGAGTGTACAGGCGAGGGTACACGTGATGGTACAGGTGAGGGTACAGGTGAGTGTACAGGCGAGGGTACACGTGATGGTACAGGTGAGGGTACAGGTGATGGTACAGGTGAGGGTACAGGTGAGGGTATAGGTGAGGGTATAGGTGAGGGTACAGGTGAGTGTACAGGCGAGGGTACACGTGATGGTACAGGTGAGGGTACAGGTGATGGTACAGGTGAGGGTATAGGTGAGGGTATAGGTGAGGGTATAGGTGAGGGTACAGGTGAGTGTACAGGCGAGGGTACACGTGAGGGTACAGGTGAGGGTACAGGGGAGTGTTCAGGCGGTGGTACAGGTGATGGTACAGGTGAGTGTACAGGTGATGGTACAGGTGAGTGTACAGGTGATGGTACAGGCGATGGTACAGGTGAGGGTATAGGTGAGTGTACAGGTGAGTGTACAGGCGATGGTACAGATGAGTGTACAGGTGAGGGTACAGGTGAGTGTACAGGTGAGTCGCTCACCGCTCAGCAGTTTGGTTTCGCTGATAGCGCGCGGCAGAAGTTGGATCAGGAACCAGAGAATCAACCCGAGTCTCCTCCTCCTCCACATCATCGCCATCAGCACCTCCTCACTCCTGCACCTCCTCACTATCTAACTCCTTCAGACGCTCCTCACGCCAGCTTGAACCACTCTTGCTCGCTCTTCCACCTCCTCACTCCTCCTCTCTCCAGCCGTATCTCTCTCTCGCTCGCTCTCTACCCACTCTCCTCTCCTGCTCCTCCCGCTCCACCCGGGGTAATGGGAATCAGCTGCGGCGCGTCCCCACCTCGCTGCGTCTCCCGCCCCTGCGGAGACGCCGAGCGAATTCATCAGCGGAGTGTGGGAGCCGTGGGGGGGGGGGTGGAGGATGGGGAGGGAGGTCGGCATCCCTGACAGCCTCTCCCCCCACCCCCCACATCTCCACCATCCCCCCCCCACTCTCTCTACCCCCCCCGTCCCTCCCACCCTCTCTACCCCCCCCGTCCCTCCCACCCTCTCTACCCCCCCATCCCCCCCACCCTCTCTACCCCCCCCATCCCCCCACCCTCTCTACCCCCCCATCCCCCACATCTCCACCACCCCCCCCCACTCTCTCTACCCCCCCCATCCCCCCCACCCTCTCTACCCCCCCATCCCCCCCACCCCCCCACCCCCCACAATCCCTCCCACCCCACAACCCACGACCACCCCAACAACCGCACAGCCGCTGTGTTGTGACGTCACGGGCGCGTCAGGTTTTTATATTTATTTATTTTGTACTTTGTCATATAAAACACAACGCTCTGGTCAGGCCCCCCCGGGGGTGGGGGTTGGTGGGGGGGGGTTGGTGGGGGGTTGGTGGGGGGTTGGTGGGGGGGAGGTGGGGGGTTGGTGGGGGGGTGGGGGCTACCTTCACAGCTCAGAAAACGTGGCCACAGGAGCGGCCACGGGACGATTGGACCAACGCGACTCGCATCGATAGCTTCTGACGGCGCCTCCACTAGAGGCCGCTACAGACAGCCCCTCTAGGCTATCGTAGAGAGGGCGACTCTATCAGTCACGGGATGAGAAGGAGCCGCATCAATAGCTTCCTGACGGCGCCTCCACTAGAGGCCGCTACAGACAGCCCCTCTAGGCTATCGTAGAGAGGGCGACTCTATCAGTCACGGGATGAGAAGGAGCCACATCGATAGCTTCCTGACGGCGCCTCGACTAGAGGCCGCTACAGACAGCCCCTCTAGACTATCGTAGAGAGGGCGACTCTATCAGTCACGGGATGAGAAGGAACCACATCAAAAGCTTCCTAACGGCGCCTCCACTAGAGGCCGCTACAGACAGCCCCTCTAGACTGTTGTAGAGAGGGGCATGCTGACCGACTGCTACTACTACAGCACTTTTTGTTCACGTGGTGGAGAGGTGGGGTGGGGGAGTTACCCACGCTTTACCCCCACAGGCACGCAAACAGACGCCCGATCGAGGCAAAACATTCGAAAACAACTCCTTCATAATAATGATTGTTATTGTGACGAGTTTTAAAAACAAAGACAAATACTGAATTTCGCAAAAAAATTGTTAAACTACTTTGGCGGCCTGGAGACAGGGCGAGAGGGTAAGATTCGTGTCCTGGCAAAACCCAGCGTGCTCGGTAGAGGGACACACACGAGCAGTATACACGGTGGCTAGGAGATGTTAACTACCTCGCCCGGTATACAGGAGGTCGTGGATTCGATCCGGACCCTAACGCCTGCTGCTGCTGCTGTATATTTGGTGTTTGCGTCTCTTTCTCTCCCCATGGTCGCGTGCATTTTCCCTCCGGGTCCTCCACTTCGTTGAGCTGCCAATTGTCGTCAGGTAGCTTATGGAAAAGAGCGACATGGCTAAGTGGGCCTTACCTGGTCAAATGAAAAGGTTTCGTTGAGTCTACATATATACAGGGTGGCCCAAAAGTCAGGAAACATAGGGTTATTCCATTTATTTTAACAGATGTTCGAAATTACTTCCATTATCAACTATAATGCATGAATTATCTTTTGAATTTAATTTAGGACTTTTTTAAGACCACACTGTGTGCAATCTTAATAATTATAATAACCCTGTATAGTAATAACAACCCCTATGTGTCCTGACTTTTGGGCCACCCTGTATAATAATAATAACCCCTGTGTCCTGACGAATTATTCCACCTCTAATTGTTGAACTTTCACGGGGGATTGGTTAACTCCCTCCCCTCAACCGAGCCTCCTCCAACCCCGCCCCTCATCCCCCCACATCCTCTCCCGCCCCTCACCCCAACCCCCCTCCCTCACCCCGCACCGTCACGTGACAAAAACGCCCTCTTGTGCCGTACGAACCTCGCCTCGGGGTGCCACGTGGCCTAAAAATATCATTCGACGCGACCGCAATTGACAAAATAGCAATAAAAAAATACCTGCACGGGCAACAACAACAACAAACCAAACTACGAAAGGTGTGTTTGTTTTAAAACATTAGCATAGTCATTATCATCACCACGATCATAATTGTACAAACGTAGTCGTTGTTACGTGTCGTTTACAAAGCGAGGAGGAGTGCCCGGAATGCACTTCTGCTGCAGTAGGCCCGAGGCTTTTCCTTCTCCCGAGCGCCCGCACCCACCCCGCCCGGCCCCCTCTCTCTCTATGAAACATCTCGAATCTTCTAAATCAACAACAACGATGAGCACAACATCAACAACAGTAACGACAACAACAACAATAACAACAACGTTTTCAATCGCCCCACGCACGAGTCGACTAGCTAAGAGGTGTCCCTTTGTTGTAGACGTCACCGGGCAGCTGGGTGATCACCGGCCAATGGCAGGCCCAGATTCTGGGGCAGCAGTGACTTGGCAGAGGGTTGCTCAAGTTCGCAGTTCTCATGCCTGTCAACCCCGTATCAGTGCCCTACCTTATTACAGACCAAATCAAAGCCTTGCTGGTCACCCCGTGCCCCTTATAAATCTCAACGTTCATCCTACAAAGTCCCGTCACAAGGGGGGAAACAAAGAAATTTACAATATTTTTTACCCGTATCGAAACGGCTGTACGCCGTATGGACTTCAAAATTCAATTTCCATGGCCAAAAATACGGGGTAAGCCGTGTGGGCTGACAGGTATGGGTTCTATCCCTAGCGTTGAAACACCCCCAAGTTATTTAACCAAGATTTTTCTTTCTTTAACATCCATCCGAAGGTTAAAATTCACGGTTTCCCTCGCCCAGAATCGATGCCTTGCAAGCTCACTCCGTTTTTTTTTGTTTCAAATGCAAACAATTCCACCTCGTGGCATTCCTTTGGTGGCTCAAGGTGATTTAAATGAAAAAGTAATAGCAGCGTCCCGTATGTATATATGTACAGAGACTCCTCTACTAAAGAACGAGTTAGGTTCCAAAGGTCTGTTTGTAAGTCGATTTGTTCGCAAGTCCAACTTTACGCCTGTCGATTTCAAACGCGTTGCACACCGTGTACACTAAACACGGGGGAATGGCTTCAAAAGTTGTATAATGTTCTGTAGATGTAGATGCCACTGGTTCTTCACGTTCTGTAGCTGTAGATGCCACTGGTTCTTCACGTTCTGCACGTTCTACAGATGTAGATGCTGCTGGTTATTTACGTTCTGTAGATGTAGATGTCACTGGTTCTTCACGTTATGCAGATGTAGATGCCACTGGTTCTTCATGTTCTGCAGATGTAAATCCCGCTGGTTATTTACGTTCTGTATAAATAGATGCCACTGGTTCTTCACGTTCTGTAGATGTAGATGCCACTGGTTCTTTACGTCCTACAGATGTAGATGCCACTGGTTCTTCACGTTCTGCAGACGTAGATGCCACCACCGCCATCTATTGCGCTGCGGTTCAACTAACAACTCTTGGCCCAAACAACTGCAACTGGACATACGGACAGCTTTGTTCGTATCTCTGAAAGTTCATAAGTCGAATGTTCGTAAGTAGAGGAGTCCCCTGTATGTTGAACTTCTTTCGCACCACCGTGCGTGGCCAACCGCGCTAATCAGAGGTACGGGGAGCGAGGAAGGATTTGAGAACCAATGATGACATTTTAAGTTTTAAAATTGTGTAATGGCATGTATATATATCATGTTGTTCGTCTCTTGTTTGACTGTGATGCTTTAATATGTTATCGTCAGTGTGTAATGTTGGGTGAGTAACACTTAATCCTGTGTGCTGCCTAGGCTGAAAAGCGGGGCTAGGTTCTTGACCAATCCTGGCCAGCTGGCTCAACAAACGTAGTAAACTAGCTAACTATCCCTCCTTAACACTGTGGCCAATGGGGCGCGTGAACCCCTCGGGGTAGTAATAACAACGTGGGGAGCGGTGGTGCAGTGGTTAGCGCTGCGCTTCCAACCCCGGCGGACACCCGAGTTCGATTCCCGATCATGGCCACCACCACCACCATCACCACCATCACCATCACCACCACCACCACAAACACCGGTGACGATAGCCTGAACCGGTCCCTGGTGGGCCTCCGCTAGATTCGACTCGGCCTCAGTTGAGCACCTCCTGTGACGTACGGTCAACACGACCGCCCGCTGGATTCGAACCGCGGACCTCTGCATCAATAACAACAACGACGACGACAACAACAACAACAACAACAGGGGTGCGAGCTACCTCCTAGCTACGTCACCACCCACCCACCCACCCACCTCGCCACCCACACTCCATCTTGAAGGCCAACCTTTGGAATCCCCGATGAGCATCCTTGGAATCCCCGACAGGCAGTCGGTCCTTTGTACGCCTTCTAGTTAGGCACCCTTTGGGTATTCTTGATGGGGGTCCAGAGATACACCTCCCCCCCCATCCCCCTCCATGTTCGTAAGAACTAACTTCGATTTTCTGTTTTGTTTTCGAGGGTCACAGGGGGAGGGGGTGATGAGCTCAGCCGTCGGTTCAGGGCCGTGAGCTTCTTATCTCGGCCCGTGGCCTACTCGGAGTGCGAGGCCGGTGGAGGAGAGGGAGGCGTGGAGAGCGAAAAGGAGCGGAGAGAACAGCGTGGAGACTTACGTAGGTGGAGGAGAGGAGGAGGGGGTGGGGGGAGGGTGAGCAAGAAGTTGGGGGTCTTGGGGGGAGGTGGGATGGCGGGAAGGGTGAGGTGACGTCACAATAGTCGAGCAATGGCCGGCCGCTCTCGCTTTGGAGGGAGGAGCGAGGGGCTGCTGGCCACCTGCCCACCCACCCCCCCAGCTCCCCCCGATTCTTCGACTGCCGCGTCTCTCCGCCGACCGCCATCGTTCCACGCGGGTCATCTTTCGCTTGGACGGTCAGCTAAGTTGGGGGGCTGGTGGGGGGCGGGGGGTTGGTGGTGCAAGTGCGGGGGGGGGGTGTCTAT